TGTTTGGTGCTAGGGAAAAAATACAAAAAATCTACGCTTGAAGAATATTTGAGACATAAGGCTTAAAATTTTCATTAATATGCCATTAACCATAGGTACGAATAATATTGTAAACCACAAGTGGCATCCTGTTAGTTTTACCACACGGTAGGGTAGTGGAACATTGAGAATCAATTATCTAATTAAAATATAAATCGAAAATATTTGAATATTATAGACACACACCTTCTAGATTGAGGATATTGTTTATTTAAAACTCTGCGACTTTGTTCTTAAGATTTCATCATTACAACAAAAGATGCAAGATTCTGGTCTAGGAATACTCTTTACAAGTCGAACTCTATTATAAGTGAGACCAAAGATTTTTTTTTAAATTAATCCATCCAAGTTCAATGAAAATTAAGAATAACAGAGGAAAAAACTGAAAAGTAAATATAACAGAGGAAAACAGTACATACATTTGGTTAACACATTAACAGAATTCGATCAAAATATACACCAACATATTTTAAGATTGAAATCATTTTCCCAATTCGTTTCGATTCCCGATTATTTCCCGGTTGGGTTGCTACCCTATGATTTATGATTAAATTTACTATTAGATATTGAAATCAGGGATACAATCGAATTTTGAGAATGTATTCTTACTATCTCGAAGCAACTTACGATTTCGGATTTTTGATTATTTGATTTTGATTTGATTTTATTATGTTGAATGAAAACACGAAAACAAAATTCACTTGTCCAATTGTCGGACACAATAAACAGAGTGTGACCGAACTGAGCAGTCACAGCATGTGCTATAAGCCTATCTTGATGTAATTTTCCTTGTCGATAATTATTATAACGTGATATAACTCTGTAGTCTGAACGTACTATAAACAACAAACACTCCCGCGACAAACGTTGATATTTATGCTTATTGATTCACTAATCAACAAAAATCGTAAATCCACACAAGTGTTGACAGTCCTTTTAATTTAAATTTACAATGTCGTTTTCGGATGTGAAACCGGCAATCCTTGTTTAGTCCATCCAAAAGTAACGCGATGCAGAGGCAAAATGGAGAGCTAGTGTTGCATTTCACTGCAATGATTCACTTTTTTCAACAGCTGTATTTGAACGGGAGAGGAGATTGGCGATATCAGCATCCAGCCTTAAAGATTCGCGCTTCGATCGAATTGTTTGCATCAAGGACGGATCAGCAGAGTGAGCTGGTTCAACGGTTTCACGATCATTGACTTCGATCCACAACTTCAGGAAACATTCATCACAGAAGCAGGACATGAGATCGCTTTCAGTCGGAGAAATACTTTTTTAAAGCAGAATCCTCACATGCCATCCAATTTCTTTTAGTTCGCCTGGTAGCAATTTGCATTTACCACAGTGGTTTTGCAGCCTTGTTGTTTGATCGTATTAGTTTTGCATCAATATTCGGATAAACACGTTTGCACGTTATTCACACTACTTTTCACACGGTAATGACAAATAGTTGTCGCCACTGCGATTTGAGTACACGTATTAATAGAAAACAAGCAGCAAGTCTAGGTTATTGGAAAGTAGAAGAAAAACGTCTGTTGCCGGGAGGGACTGACAAAATCGGGAAAGCAGTGTAGTGGAAATATGAATGCATGCTGATCCTACATTATTTCTTTCTTTTTTGTTACTACTGTAAGGATTTTTTTATGTGTACCCTAAGATTGGGCCCATGCAAAAATACAAAAACGTGGAATTCTTTAAAAAAATTAATTGAAGACCGAAAATTGACTCTACTTCTTGTATCGCATGGGTTGGAACTGAAAAATCAACAAACTCTATTTTAATTATAATCTTCCCTATGTTAGCTCATGGAACCAACCCTAGAGATTCCTTAAATAATATCTTAACGGAATCCCCTATGAAGCACTTTTCGTCGAATGGGTTGAGTTAAAAGGAAATAATTATTCCGTTATAATTGCCTATCTTTTGACATATACGCGTATTTTAACCAATTTATGTAGAGTTACCTCAGTTACCTCAATTAGCTACCACTGAAGAAACCATCGCATTTAAACAACATAATGGTAAATGATTAAAACTAAGCAGGTTAAATCCTAATATCTAGGCATCTACAAATCTCGTATTTAGCTTATAAGGATCGATACAAAAGAAAACTTAATCTACAAAATCTAGTTTTCGACAGATACGGCCTATGTACTACCTACAAATACACGACGTGGCAGATGATTACCTGTCGAAAGATTTTGTAGGTAGAATTCTTCAGGTTAAGTTTTGAGCATGAGCATGATTGGCCACCCGTGGTTGCTAAATCTGCCATTAAACCATATGGTGACTATAGTCGCTATGTTCATAGTCTGGCGGATAGACTCTCGGGAACTTGAGCTGTCAAATAGCGGAACCAATCGAGCAAATCATGACCAACAACAGAAACGAGCACATCAGCTATTGCGAACAACACATCAGAAGCCCTTTTTCTGGTGGTTCAAGGCTCGCCTACGCAAACTAACACCAACTTTGGATGAGGAAAGTTTAGGCCGGCGCACAATAGATACGTTTTCAGGTTTTTTGACAGTTAGCCCATGCATTATCTGTCAAAAAACCCGAAAACGTATCTATTGTGCGCCGGCCTTTTCCCCTATCCGATCCGGTGATTTGCGTTCGATTGGCCAGGAAAGAATAATCGAAATTCTATCCGCCAGACTATGAATATAGCGACTATAATGGTGACTGGTGAGCTCATACACTAAACGCTCGCTAACTGAAAGGGACTATTTGAAGAAAATGTAAACTTACCGTAACCGAATGTTGACCACTGCTAAAAAATAGACAAAAAATAGAGATTTGTCAAAAAAGGGCTAGATAGTTCTTTTAACAAAAATCAAAAAGTCCCTTTCAGTTAGCGCATGTTTAGTGTAATTAACAATAGGCAATACCAGCCGCCGGTCGCGTCCCTGGAAGAATTCACACGGTTAAGATTTTTTTTTATATATCAATCATGAAGCCGACATGGGGCCTACCTTAGTTCAGTCGGTAAATGCGCAACTACAAAGTAATACCATGCTGGAGGTAACTGGGCTCGATTCCCGGGTTGGAAAATTTCTAGACTTCCCTGGCATAGAGTATAATAATTCAGTGCCAACATTTCAAAGGGGCGTAATTGCATTTGTAAACAATGACTTTCGTCTTCGATTTCTCGCGAATGAAAGCTCACTCATGAAAATGAATGACACCAGCAGGTAGAGGAATGTTTCCTGTCCCAGCTAGCATTGGTAATTTGGAGGGGTGGGCTTTTATTTGCGAGAAATCGACGGCTAAAGCCATTGTTTACAAAAGCAATTACGCCCCTTTGAAATATTGGCACTGAATTGTTCTTGCCACATAATTATATCAATGCAAAAATGGTAAAGGCATCGAAAGCTCTCAATTAATAACTGTGGAAATGCATCTAAAATAGTAAGTTGAGAGCACGCAATAAGCTAATGTGTGATAAGCAAAAGCTTGAAATACGAGTAAGAAGAAGAAGAAGAATCCGACATCAACATTACATTAGGGTAAAACTGCTTTAATGATTGTAACTGTCAGTTTCTCACGAATAAAAGCTCACACATGAATAATTACCGACACAGGTAGGGAAATGGTGCACTCTAACAGATGGTTGGTTTGTGAGCTATTATTCTTGAGGAATCTGTGGTTAAAATGTGCATGTTGATGACAAAATTACACTTAGATATTGGTACCGTAAAACGGGATAACATTGATAGTTTTTTTAAGCATATTTTGATAGTATTTTGAAGCATTTTTTCAATATTTTTACAGCAATTCATGTTTTTTAAATTATTATTTTTTTAAACAAGTACTGAGGATCCTAGAGTCAATTCGTTAGTAATATGTTTAAAGGAAATCAAAACATTTGCACTATTTTTTTAGTCTTGTGATCGAACATCAGTATTTTGATTTGGAGTTACTTTGATAATGTTCGATGAATGTAGAAAAAAATGCGTTAAATTCAAACAATTTTGTACAATAAATATGAAACATTGAATGAGTATATAATCAGAAAACATAATCAAATAAGAATACAACATTGAATTTGTTATGGCTATATGGGAAATACATTTCATAAGTGATGGTTTGAGTGCTTTTTTAAACAGACGAAAAACAAAAAAAAAATGTTTTTTTAATATGTTTGTAAAATATGTAACACATACTATGTACAAACTAGATACCATTTCAACGGAAATACCCTAAGCTACAATATGGAACCAATTTTGCTCGGAAAAAGCGCAGAGAATAAATTTAATCATTATATTCTACTATCAAAGTTACCCGCATTATCAAAGTTACCCCGTTTTAAAATACGTAACTTACATAATGTTAATAATCTCAGTAGTTTAATAATGCGATTGTTTCTTCTGTGTTACTCCACTATTTGGCAATGAGAAAATCTACAAGTAGTGGACGAAATACGCTTATTTGTCAAATGTCAATTATAATGGAATTAAAAGGGGCGACCCCAGCGTAGTGGTTAGCATCCATGCCTCTCACGTCAAAGTCACGAGTTCAAATCTCACCCCCGGACAAGTCACGAATGACCCAAAAGTGTTAAAGTGACAACAATAAAAAAAGGAAATGACTCAATCCGCTCCAGAAGCATTTCGCAATTTTTCCATAATTGTTGCTGAATAGAGGTGGAGACTATCTGGCCGTCAGGCACTGGGAACAGAAGTCGTTTTTCATTCAATAAAAAAAACCTATGCAGTCAGAAACAAATGCCTACCCAAGTTAGCTAGCTTTTAATTCACTCACATTTTCTGTTGCTAAAACATTTTTATATTAGATAGACGATCAATTTCATCCAGAAATTTTAATAAAATATGATTTTCTCAATAACGGTTTATGACTATGAAAAATAGCTAACGCTACTCTCTCCCATATGATTACCATTTCCCTTTCCTCCCCACCCGCAAAAAAGCTGTCACAGCAAATAAAAATCACTTGGCTAGATCCAGAGGCTAGTGTTTCCAATGAATATCATTTATATTATTATTATTACAGTGATTTGTAGTAAAAAGATACAATCTTTAAGCTTACACGTAAGGTTCAATCTAGGGGTGATTCGAAAATCAATTGTAATTTTTCTTAAAAATAGTACTGCAAATACATCATCATGTTATGTTGCGTATGCGTGGACGCACTCCGGATGAGCGCGAGCTCACCCGATCAGAATCAATGTTATAAATAATATGTTTACATCTAAGTCATCAAATACAAACGGTTTCTCGTAAGTGTTTTTTTTACTGTAAAATGAGTAGAATATAATTGGTGGAAGACTCATACTTTCGTACGAGCCCGACCTCTACCGTGGGGGTCAAGACTAAAGTTTCTCTTACTTTTGCTGTCAAAAATCAAAACTCCTCCGGTAATTCTCTTTTCTGATAATGTTTTTGTTTGTTCACTCATCCAGAATAAGTGTGTTTACAATGTTATTTTTATTTGATCATTCTTCATGAGACGATAACACTAATGTATTTAACTCGCTAAAAGATCAGAATTGCGGACCATGCTTGTACAGTGGGTTCACCTCGAAACATGGTTGCGCGCTTCTGCCAGGGATCCTCATGTTTTGTTTTTCCATTCTCTCTAAGTTTAGCAAGTATGCCATTAATTTATATGTTCTTTTAAGAGATATAATCATTTCAAAGTTTTTTTTTTCTGTTTCAAGAAAATGTGTTTCATTTATGCAAAACACGCGTCGCACACACATCAGGGCTACTGATTGCTCTCTGAAGTGGGGAAGCTCTGTGTTGGTACAAGTCGATGGTCACCGCTTTCCCCACTGTTAAGCAAATATAAAAAAAATTCAGTCACTAAAATCATGTTTGGAAAATTATACACAGAAATACAATTGAAGCACGTTTCTTAACAGAATAAATATACCATATTTTTTGAGAAACTGTATCTTTTTATAGATAGGAATTTTTTTTCTGGAAAATTGTCAACTAAACTAAATACGGACGAAACGGTTACATTCTGTTGCATCCCACGAGTTAGGAGTTTAAAACGGAACTCGGATGAAGTACAATGGATTTATTGTACTACACTGGTTTTCCCAAGCCCAAGGGTTGTACTCAATATGCGACGCGCGAGCGAGATCGTTCCAATGTATGTAATCCAAAAGCTTTATAAATGCACACACCCCCTCTGTCCACAATGGTTCTATTGCTCATTGTACTCGAGCTCTGGGTGTCGGAGAGCGCAATCAACAACGAGACACACATCCTAAGTAAAATCAGTTTGTGTTTGGGGGTGTGGGTGGTGTAGTGAGACTTTTGCTAGCATTTTAGAAGCGTCGTCGCTTGCTTTGGAAATCATCATTGTTACGACGATCATTGTTCATCCAGGCACGGTTTCCGCCGCCGAAGGAATTACGTTGTGGACCACCACCGCCGCCGCCGCCACCACCGCCGCCGCCGGTTCCTCCTCCCTGCTGGTTCTGCTGCGGGCCATCGTCGTTGAAGCGTGACGGTCTATTCTGACCATGCTCATAGTCACGAACCTCCTAGTGGAATCATAGTTTAATTGGATAAACGAATACATATATTTTTGGTTATAGATTAACAAAGGCTTGGGGTGATTGTGTTGTGAGAGAGGGAGGGAGAAAAGAGGGCAAGAACCGATGGGCTCGAGCCGGCCTCCTCTTTGGAGGCAACATTTGGGTGGTGTTCATTGGCTAATATGTGGCGAGAAGAAAGATATTACTGTGATGTGGGATTTGTTGGTTAGAAACGATAGGCCGAATGATTTTCCAACGTAGGATCGGCGGACGAGAGGGAATTGAGAGATTCAGAACGGTGCGTACAGCTCTCGCAGTGTACAACCGTATCAAGTATGTGTTCGTAAGAAGGCGTAACAGTGTATTGATTTGCTGCGAACGGTTTCCACTTACACTGGATGAATCGTCACCGTCATCATCAACATCATCATCATCATAGTGGGTCACAAGGATATCGCTTCAATCTGAATATGTCATACGAATACGTTGAACGAAAATAGTGCGCTAAGCTGCACGCTTAGACTTCGTAACTCACAAAAGGAATATCAAGCAATTTAAGAAAATTTCTTAGTATTGGACTATATGGCCACTATGTTAGTGCTCAATTCCATTCTCTCCCTGATAGCATTTAATGGGATTCAGATGTTACCCTATTGCAACCCTTTATCGAATTGTTAATCTCGCTTGGCATTGCAATTATAATTAAGAATATGACATATTGTGTGTAGGAACGTAACAAGATGCTGCAACTCACTGCAACTGATATACGACTGAAACTTATTTTATAGAAGTTGTATTAACTATCTATCTCGTTTGTACAAACTTCAGTTTGAACTGTCATCCATTGATCATTGATCTCTTCTACGAAAAAAGGATTGCAGAAATGTTCCACAGAATTGCTTCAAATCTGGAATGCAGAGAATAGGTTCCCCTTCAAATTAATTGCAACTTACAATTTGTCAGTCTCCAAATTCCGTAGAGTTTCATAACAGGCATTTCAGCCTAACCCGAATGGAATATAAATGTCCAGTAAGTGCATAATCACATATCTCACATATACAGTTGTTACATCAAGCATTCACCACAAAATGAGTAGGTATAATATATTATGGATTGCGTAGTTATGATGTAGGGTCTATTTTTTCCAGAGCAGAGAGAAGTTTGAATAAAATATATAACATTTGTTTGTCATGTGTAAGCAAATAAAAGGTTGGGTAGAATGTTAGGTTCACGTCACATAATAATCGATTACCACTTTGACACGCAAACACGGTTCCGTAAACGTGTCGGTTGAGCTTTTTCATATTTGAAAAACATGTTTTCTGTGTATATAGATAGATAGGCCCTGTTGGCAATATAACTGCCAAATTGATGAGCGATGTAATTATGTAATCCAATTTTAGAATCTGGACACCCGTTAAGCCTGAATTATTGCAGAAAAACACTCATGTATTTGCACATTTTTTGGGACAACACAGGTGTTGCTGCATCATTTTTTATGTAACTAAAATTGTGTTCTATCACTGATAGTTTTCCTAATCATATACGATTACAGGGCCATGATGACCACACTTGGTATCCAATAATTTCAGATAAATTGTTGATGTTCATATTAAAATGTTAATGAAACTACTGCGTACAGCATCGGTGATGATAATAAGACTATAAATCGATCGATCGAAATATTGGTTGTATTGAAGTATTATGGATCTCGAATAATATACGAGTATCGTAAACTACGACCGTAAGTTTGAAAAGCATAGCCTTATTTTACTTAACATAGCTTCCGCTGTTCCGAATGGTTACGCAAGCACTAGAATGTATAACTGTGAGCGAACGGACTTCTTATCCGAAAGATATGGAAGAAGATTTTCATTTATAAAGCAAGTAAGACTTAGGCATATTAACGTATGGAACTATTGCACATGGCACTGTTTGTTAAAAAATATAAATCATCGATTAAAAAAGCCGACTATAATTTGCATAGCACACGAGCGTTCTTCAAGTTCTGCCTCAGAGCGACATTTCCATTACAATTGGCCAAAAAGTAATGTAAAATCGATCCAATGCACACTTTTGGCGAACGACAGAAACTCAACGACCTTGAAAACGATATTCGTAGTGAACATATCCTGGAGAGCGACTGATGCGATATCATTGTACCTAGGAGAGCAAAATACAGATTTTTTGTCATTTGATTCCATTCTACAATTCTCGTTTTCTTGTTCACACATACTTTTTTTTTCTTTTACAAAAAGGGAAAGAGAGAAGCGAACTTGACTGCTACTGCGACGAAGTACATGTTTGCAACGATATAGTAGCGACGGTTTGTTCATGAAGGCGACATAAGCATGGTAATGAATTATTTTCAGAATATTTGCCCCTGCTGATACACAAATAAACATAGGTTCAAGTTACGAACACGCAAATTCCAGTATCCACCTGAGACCCTCTTTGAACGCGACGAGCGGATTATGCTGCCTGCCAGTTTTATAAAATTAGCGAAATAACACGATAATACCCGTATCCAAAAGTGAAAAGAAACTGACCTTCAACGGCAGATAAAATTATGTATACGGCTCCGTAATGCGCGCAGATGAGCCCGTTTGGTATAAACAACTTTTTTTTTATTATATTTGTAGGTAGGTGCGTTGTTTCCCATCGGGTTCTACTTTCAGTAATATTGGCGAAGTGAGCGATATGCAGGCGACAGCTTCTTGAAGATATCTTTAGAGCAGTTCCACGCCAAATGACGAAACGATCTAATGCGACCTTCTCCGGTTCACATGGAACTTAGTCGAATTCACATTCACATTTTTCTAAAATTCGGTCATTTTTAATCTCGCAAAAAAAAACTTCAAAATAGCATATTCGAGGTTTTTTAGCAAATCATAACTCGAAAACAACGCCACTTCCAATCGTAATGACGTCTGACACAAAATTGTAGGCAAAAATAATTCGTTATGTAGCTAATTCGCTTGTTCGAACGAGGGAATATCGGGTGTAGCCAAGTCGCAGCTGATTGAAAACAAACGTAGGTCGGACTCGATTTTTCACGAACAATAACTCAATCATACAAATCAATACAGATAGGGGATTGTCTTCTCTGTCAGATGGTGGTGTGGCTTTGCATTATTGAATTATCGTTTGCTAGAAATTTATGATGGAACTGACAAAAGCCAATTACCGATAATCGAGTCCGACCTACCCTACCAAACATGGATATACGTTCCTATTATATGGTATGTTCCAATTATGGTCCACGATAATACAATAGGCCATAATTGGAATACAGTACTTGTTCACTAACTGGGCGTTCTTTAACTGGGCTGTGCTGCCGTTATAAGCATAACTGTTCCATGTTCTATGCAATCCTTATGCACCGTGGGACTCTTATGCGTATAACGGCAGTGTAGTCCAGTTAAAAAGCAGTTATACGTCAAAACTATAGACGTCACATTTAGTTTGACATTTCGTTGTCATAATTTGTGGGGGGCATTCGAATGAAATATAACTAACTTTCAAATTATTTTAATTTTACACTGAAATCTAGACTGCAAAGCAGTTTTAGTCGAAACTCGCGAGTTTGAATGCTGTGTTTTTTGACGATGAACAAGTCATTCCAGTTAGTGAGTGGAAATCGCTAACTGGGCTGCGCTTTTAGCCCAGTTAGCGAACAAGTAGTGTACACCATAATAGGAGCACACAACCATAACTGCTACACCTACCCTTATTTATAATTCATTTTACTCCCAGTCCTTAATTTTTTTTTTACTGATAACAACTGCAGTTTTTATGGGAAAACAAACCTCAACATTGTTTGGATATCTCGGAATTGTGAATGAAAAATCGACAAAGGATATTTAGGCTGCGCCCCAATAGCTGGGTTTAATTTAGCTCGACAAATGAGATACAACTTTCGACTGATTTGAGCAGTTAAACAGAACATTGTCTTTCAATCGAGCTTCAATCTGGAACAGTCCTCCATGATAGGGAGTGGATTTTTGATAGTTGTTGAACGTTTCCTCGAAATAACAGATATTTTTTTATCAAATTAAATACAGTAAAATAATTCAATACACTAATTTGTTTTTACGCAGTTCTGTTTTGTTTAATATTGTGCCCTCTGCAGGATGAGAGTACAGCATTTTTAATACCACTATATTTTTCTTTGATATTTTGAAACAAGTTGCATTAAATTTGGTTGCAATTTGAGATCACACGAGCAATATTAAAGACGAAAAAAATCGCGTAAAATTGAATTGAGTGTATTTGTGATTTTTTCTTCCACAAGATCAATCGTTAGTATTACATCGATTATCAACCTGGGATACACGTGAGGTATTGAACAAAATCTCATAAAAAGAAACTATGTAGAGCGATCTTGATCTCACAGGAGGGGGACAACAATATAGACAATCGACGATTTATGCAGGCTAACTTTTTCGTTGTATTCTTATGCCAAATGGCTTTACGCAGATCCATTTAAAAAAAAATGATAAAACCAACTATACATTTGATCGCTATCACCATATTCATATATTTTTACAATAAGATGTAACTGTCTCTTAATTGAGTAAAAATGTTCAACAATAGAAAACAATACATTTAATGATAAAAAGTATAAATGTCCCTCGTTCGATTAGCATAGAACTTAGGTCAGTTGTTACCATGACAATTATTTGACAACACAACTTCTGCTGTATTTTTAAGGTAGTGTAAGTCGTTTGTACTTCTACGGTTCGTTTTTTTTAAGTAAATTGATGAACAAATTGATTTTTCCCAATATATAAGCAAAACAAGATTCCAAACAACTACTCCAATAGAAGGCTGTCGCTTTCCATCCGCAGAGCTTAATATCGCAAATTTCACCAACCCAGACATCAGAAACAAGGTAACAAGATTTGTTTACTTCTATTTTGAGTTCGATGTGGTTGATGAGCTTCGTTTTCGCTACTATTGACGAATAAATACAACTTGCGTCCGGATAAAATGTGGATGAATAATGATTTCTTTATTATAGAGACTTCAGCGGTTGGCTGGTTCGTCTCAGAAAAGATAGTGTGGGGTCCAGAAGAGACCTGATCTAATCACGAAGTTTTTTTTTATCATGTTAGGAGGTCTATAAGAGGCCTCCTCTAGTTAAGTATACTGAAGCTGTCACAATGTGCTTTCTTTCTTCGTAGTTTTGATTGTTAAGTTTCTGAGGATCTTGCTTTTGTTTGAGATGTTGGGTGATAAAAGAAAATCTATTGCGGTGGCTGGAATTTTTAAAGGTTTCATTTTTGATCGAAGAGGCCGGCCTCACGGAAGAAGCCCATTAATGCTGTGATCCTAGTCGGGTCATTACTCAGAGCGCCCCTAACGCTACCCGGTATACCGTACAGCTCTCGTGAACCTTCGTATTGAGTACAGTGGCAGATTATGTGTTCCACTGAACAGGTGGTGCGGCAGACCCCGCAAAATTTCCGGACGGCCCGCACCCTGAAAAGTTATGATCAGGTCCAGCTGATGATCGTTTTCAAAACAATTACGTCTGAGAAAATAGCCAATCAATTACGGATACGTAGTTTTCTTGCACGATTTGCGTTTTGTGGTGGAATTATATTTTAAGTGTAATCGTTAACGACGGGACAGAAAAATGACGTGTACAACGGCTGGATTTCAAAAACTTCTTTCTTTTCAAGTAGCGGATAAAATCAAATATGAATATACTATTATTACTAAATCGACATTTCATTTACCAAGTTGCATTTGAATACATCATTGGATATACACATTTGTTGGCGAATTCAAGCTAATCACGTACCATTGCGTACGTTCACAAATCATCACAATAATGTTCAAAAATACAACGAAATTCCGAACGACGTTCCTAGTATGATAACTAGCTAAACAGTAACAAAATCAGAGCTTGTTTTTAACGCAAACAAATCGAACGAACGAACGAACGAACAGCATTCACATTAAACAGAGGTCTAGGTCAATCGCTGAGGATAAAAGAAAACCCTTGTCGCTTAAATAAAAATAGTCGCAGCCTTCACACAGCAGAACACAACCGCGATGATCGTTGCAAACATGATTCTTCGCGCCCGGAAGAATTCTTCGGTACCGTGTTTCAGTCGTGACGCACCGAGCGCCGCTCAAAACATAATTTCCAACATCTGCACAAGATTGTTGCAATTCAGACCGAATAGAGAAGCAGGAAAAAAGCGTTACTACAATCTCGAACGAGGTCTAAAAAAACGGTTGCTTCATCCATAGCGGAATGAGCTTGTTATCTTATTCGTTTGAACTGTCGTTGTTTTCCTCTTAGTACTACTGGAAGCGTCCAACGATGACGTCCTCCGAGAGCGAGACGAGTCAGAAAAGAATGAGTGTTTTGCCACCGAATGGCAAGAAGAAATATCAAACAGCATACCGATCAGCGATCGTGTGCGGGTGGTGGTTAATGATCTCTCACATTATGATTTTGGTTCTCTCGGAACAAACGTCAGCAGAATTTCTTTCTTCGTTTGCCGCTGAGTGCGACGCCTCGAGAATATGGAGTAAAGAATCGACTTACCATTCCTCCAAAGTTGTTACCACCACCACCGCCGGCACCACCGCCGCCGCCGCCACCACCACCGCCGCTACCTCCAGTAGCACCTTGGTTCATTAGATCGAACGGCCGACGGCTGTCATCATTGTCGTCCATCAGTCCTACCGGTCCTCCCATCTGTTGGTTCTGTCAAGAAAAAAAAAAGAAAAAGAAACAAAAAGAAAAACAAACAAAAAGAAACACGAAACCGTTAGACAGAAATACTTTGGCTGCGTCTGCGCCTACGTGCGATGCTATGCATTCCGACCACACATACCTGCATGAAGACGTTGTTTTCCTGCTGGCGTCGGTGCAGCTCCTCATCGGTGCGCTTGATGCGGTTTTGCATTTCCTCAACGCTTTGCTTCATTTGAATTTCATTGCGCTGCTTGGCTTCCGAGGCCATCCGTTCCTTCATTTCCCATTCGGCCTTCTGGCGATCACGGTCCTGTTCACGCATTCGCAACTCTGTGAACGGAGCGAATGGAGGGTTTGAGTAAGTCACAGAGAGGAAAAAGCGAAAGTAAAGAACAATTTTGGTTAGTGAACGCGAAAAACAGCGCGGAGCAAGAACGATTGTCTAGAAGTTGTTAGAGATTCGGATTAGGAACACAAAACCAATGTGAGCCGTTAAAGATTGGAATTTGTTTTAAGAACTGTGCAAAAAAGAATAAGTCTACGTCTTGGTTTAGGTGTATAAAACCATCAGACTTTTAATGGATCACAATTGCGGTGCTATATCAATGAACTTAACAATAAATGCTAGATATATTAGTATACGATTGAATGAGGATAAAATAACGTCAAGGCATGTTACAACACAGTGCAAATAGTTTCGCCTAAGGAACACACAAAACGAAGATTCGAGTTTTGGCAAGGATAAACTAGAACGGGAGAGAAACACACGCTAGAAAAATCGTAATTTTAACATACGTTCTCGGAGTGACTCGGTCTCGTGCTCGTAGCGGGCAAACTCCATCTGGGCTTCCAGCTTCTCCTCTTCCATGATCATTTCACGCTTCAGAGCCTCGGCCTTCTGCTTGTACAGTTCGTGCATTTGCTTCCAACGCTGACCGTATTCATGCTCGAACGAACCGAAATCGGCAAAGCGTGGTCCATGCTGTTTGAAAAAATCGAGAACAAAATACAATTAGAAAAATCACCAACGCATCACAACCAATTATTCTCAACCAACCTGTCTGGCCTTTTGGAAGTCTGGAATTTTCTTGTTCATTGATTTCTCTGGTAATCCATCGGTGTCATCCTGATAGGTGTACGGTTCAACGATGACCGGTCGCAGGGACGCCGTCAAGAAATAGCATTTTTCCGAGCAGTACCGGAGGGCGACCATCGCTCCCGGTTTGTTCTTGAACTCGACAATTCCCTCGCCGGTAGATTTTCCACGCTCATCGACATGCACCGAGGCACGTTCAACCGGACCAAACACTTCGAACGATTTGAACAGCAACTCGTTGCTGACCCATGGAGTCAGATTGCGGACGCGAATAGCGGTGGCATTCGGAGCGAAACGCACTCGCAGCATTCGGTTCTTGCGCATCGTACCTTCCAGTTCGCGTTTGGCCTTCTCCGCGTTCGAGAAGTAATCTACACGCACGAAGGCGTAGTTCTTCTCCTTGTTCATGAAAATCTCACTAACATCACCGTACGGCTTGAATAGCTCGACCAGCTCCTCTTCGGACACATCGTTGGTCAGATTGCCGATGTACAGCCGGTTGCGTCCGGAGAACTTGATCTCCTCGGCTTCGATCGGAGCAATGTCCATCAGTGGTCCCTGCAGCATGCGCAGTTTCTCGTTGATGAAGTAACCCTCACCCGGACCACTGCGACGGCGATCGAAGCTCTGGTCACCCTGGATGGTTGAAACAGGTGTGATAGAGGAGGAAAATGGGATTAGTTAGTATATTTGGTTAGTAATATAATAGCAAGAATGCAAATATGTATAGGATAATTAACGCGTAGGTAACACTCCGAAATCGAAACATACGTGCCTATCTTCGTTACAAAACTTATGTTGATACCACAGACAAACAGACATAACACTCGTAAGTTGTTCATCGAACAAGCATTTAACGGACAATTTAAAAGTATCGTAGTTGGTAGTGCCGCCACATGTGGCGCGCATAGTCAATTCCTTTACGTTTGACGTTTACACACTACTGCCATCTGTTCAGCATAGTGCCCACCACAGTGTACTCAACAGATGGCGGTAATGCACTGAGTAACTGTTATAGCATAGGGAGCGCTATTTACGGCTTGCAGCTTATGTTCAACCGAGTAGCGTCGATGTTCGATTTCCACTTGACACGGAATATGCTTCGCCGAAGATTCTCTGCCTTTTTTGCTGACCGAAGGCGCTTGATACCCAACAGCTAAGTGTAAAATTTAAGACTTATAAATTTTTAGTAACTTGACAATGCTTTCCAAGTTATTTTCGTAACTGTAGTAACTGTAGTATATGTATGTCGTCTGTATAATCTGTACTTTTTTACAACACATCATTGGGACTATTTCTAGTCTGTTGATGCAACCATAACAAATAAACAAATAAATAAACAAATAATGTTTTAACGACGATGTTTTACAGTGAGAAATATTAATTGTGTTATGTCTGTTTGTCTGTGTTGATACTGTCTACCTAGTTGAAGAACAGCTACAAGGTTCAAGCAATCAACACGCATTTTTTTTTTGAACGACGAAAATTTAAAAATCTATAAATTAAATTCAATTCACTAAAAACATGGACTAAATAGAACATTAATCAAGATTTACACTCCGAAACCGAACTTTATTTTCTCAAAAGTCACATAGCGATGTGTTTGTTACAATAACTTTAAAATATTTTCGTTTCGGCATTCCCGAAGCCTTCCCCATTCGAAAGAGGGGACTTTTCCCGTCATTTTGAGAGTGAAGAATTGCCCCCGATTAAACATTTCATTCAACAGTTTGTTGTCTCAAAATGCCGGAAATCCCCTCCTATATACCGAATGATGAAAGTATTGAGAATGCCGATTTTATTGTTTATTCTAGCATACTAGCATGTTATTCTAGCATAACGTAGCCTCGGCATAAACTAAATAGTTAATTCCGCACGGAATCCTAAATTTGATAGGTGTCGAAAGGTGCAATTTATTTGGCGCATTTTCGAAAATTTGAAGCATTGGGTTTTGCTTTGTGTGAGTGGTTCACGCCCGTCGAAAGTAACTTGTTGGAAACTTTCTTTTTCCCATAGAAATTTTATTCCGTATCGAAAAAGCGGAGTTACTATCACTGAGTAACTCCACATTTTACGAAACTGGGCCAAATGTGTATGGAAAAAATATAGTGACTCAGTCTTTGAGTTACTTTCGACGGGCATGTTTGGGTCTTAAGGCAGGTGAACGATGGCACTGTAACCTCACTCAATATCCTCCCATCATTCGTTTTCTTGGAAACGTAAGAGTTTGACATGATTTTACTCACGGTTCCGTGACATGGAACAGAGCAGTCAACAAATCTAGACATTGCTTTCACAGACATTAAAATGGAGTACCTGGCACTGTAAAAAGATATTCTTGTAAGCCTCGTGACCATTCAGAAAAAAATGAGAAAAAAAACTAAGGGACAAAAAAAAAGACTTTTATCAAAAGAATACTACTCTAATGATATTTTGTACCTTAGTTACAAGAAGAGTTAGTGAAGTACGTGTTTGACACATACAAGCTGTCAATTTCGCTTTCCGAGTCACAATTAATCATTTTGTCAAGCTTCTGCATTCATGTTCCACCAGATGTCACTGCTGTTGTTTGCGGTGACATCTATCGGAAACTACACACAATCTGTTTTCCTATAATTGTTCACAGAGGACACTGCAGTGCAAAACATGGCTGGTACCTCTATAGGGGAAACGCTCCTATAGTCGCGGTACGTTAGAAGCGTTAGGTTCCTATAGTTGTGTATGGAGACTCAATACACAACTATAGGAACCTAACGCTTCTAACGTACCGCAACTATAGGAGCGTTTACCCTATATGCATTTAGATTATTATTCGAAGTCCCTCTTTTTTTACACATTCTGCACACAAAATAGCTCACCCCTCATAGAATTTCCCGCCGAATTTTATGTATGGGTATCTTTTGCGCAGAATATGTAAAAAAGGAGGGACTTCAAATGTTAAAGCAAATGCATATATAGAGGTACCAGACATGTTTTGTAGTGTCAGATACTCTATTTTGTAATCTGTGAAAGGGAAATCACAAATCGAGTGTCAACAAAATACATGGCATGTTGAGAGATTGAGATCGTGAGAGAGAATTTCTCTCTCAAATTTGAATTTTTTTTTGGCTCTCTGAGGACTGGTAGTAAAGCAGGTAAAATTGTATGGGAAAAAATCATTTTTATTTAATTGTAGCTTGTTTAGCATTAATTTCCGGGAAAAAACTGAACGACAAAGACCCTGACTAATTTCTTTAGGTTGTCGTTCACTTTTTTTGACCTGAATATGCACCGAAAGCGAATTATTCCCACTTCTCTCAATTTCTATATGGGGATTTTTATCACTTCCTACCATTGGAACAGCGCCATCTCTGTGGAAAATGGTCGAACAAAATGATTAATTAGAGATTTGACGATTCGTAAGCGTTCACTCAGAGCTGATTGTGACTAAAGCCCTACAGTAACAGTGTGGACGTCTGTCAAAAGTTGTTCCAATCGAACCGTCAAAATGCACCGCTTTGCTCGATTGGAACAGCTTTTTTCAGTTTTGTGGTGACAGTCGTCCATACTTTAACTAGAGGGCTTTACTACAGTACAACTAGAGGGCTTTAATTGTGACTCTCTGAAAACGAAATTAACAGGATTTATATGTCAAACACATACATCACAATTTCTTCTTGTAACTGACAAGTACAAGTATCATTATAATATTTCTAGACTAACATTTGAAAGGGGCGGAAGAGCCAAAATGTAAACAAACCATATTTTGCCACATATAGAGAGAATAGTTCACAAACTGATCGATAAACACGAAAAAGTAGAAGAAAATATCACTTCAAATCATCAAAAATGTTTCTTCTTACATGGCGTATTTCCAACTTTATGCCAAATGTTTTGATTCTGTAGTATCTAGTCACGCCCGATTCATTTGAAATGCATCCGATTGATAGTTCACGTGTAAACAACTAACAAAAAGAAGACCAAAACATCTCCGGGCGTAATTCCACTCTCACAAAATTTGCGAACGAAGAACCAAGGCGGAACAACAAACAAAAAATCCCGAGGGTGTACTTCCACGGCGTATCACCAGTGTTGGCAGTTCAAAGGGTGGAAGATCTGGGGGGTAACAACATGTATGAAATTATCAGGGCGTATGATGTTTTCTTCTCATTTTCACGACAAAGAAAACTTTTTTTGAGTTTTTAGTGATGCATGATGATAGATTACACTATTAACTATATGTCAAGCTTATAAAATCAACCAGAAAATGGAAAGTCGTGAAATAGGATTAATTTTTAGGTCAACAAAATTCAGAAGCGATTTTCTCGATATGGTCATTTTGGAATTACGCCCTTTTCAAATGTTAGTCTAGATTTAATGATTTTATAATCTCGAAAACAAACATGTTTTATAGCGAAGTGAGTTGAAACAACCCTCCTGGCAATAACGATTTCCTATTAATATGGGACAGTTATGCGATAAAAGCTAGATACTACACGACCAGCCAGATTAACTCAGTGTGAGTCACTTCTACTCACTTGTCAATAGAGAAAAAATGCACAACACTACTGAGTATCTTTTCTTTATGACAGAGTAATTAAACAAAAAATAGTATAATAAACTCATTATTCGAGCTATTTTCCGCGCTGTACAGCTCGAAACTAAAACGCGCCGCCACCACTTTTCTTAGTAAGACCGAAGAGAAGCGAAGGAGCGAAGTGTTGAAACGAATGTTAGGAATAAAATCATCAACGGAAATTCCCTGAGTGAATCCACTGTTTGCAATTATGAGCGATCTGGCTGGCCGTGTAGCTTTTGTTAGAGGTTTCGAATCGACACAACCTGCCTAGGTAAACAATTGTAACTATTGATTCAATATTCAGAACCACAGAAATAAATTTAGTCTTTAGTCAACCGCTTATCAGTATTTGTTTATAAGGGCTTCTAGTTTACTTGATATTTATCCATTGAAGCAATATTTTGATAATTGTTTATGTTTTAAGTGTTCGTGCACAGGTAGATTGAGGTTAAGTAACCGCTACCCATTATCGATATTTAATGGTCAGTTAATCATTAATGGGTAATTGATACTCATTAAATATGTAAAAAAAAAAATCATTAATGAGTTAACCACTTTACTTCAAAAATGAAAAAAAATGATAAAAAATTTACTCATTAATGGGTACTTTAAAGTTAGCGTGTAGTAGCGCAGCTGAAGAAATCGGCCTTTAATTTTAGTTAAATTTCGATATTCCGATATTCTTTTTTTTTTCGTCCCTGGTTATTAATTTTTGCCTTAAACAATTGAGCTTAAATTAAACAAAGCTTTACACAATCCTTTATTATAATTTGCAATTTTTTAAATCAAAATATGTACCTACTAATGTTTGTTGATGAAACAGCGATAACCTTAGTATATATTTTGATATGAAAAGGAATCAGTTAAGCTTCCTTACCCTTAGTTTGTTCAATTTTGCGTTCGATGTAAAAATGTTAATAAATGCATAGATCTCAACATTAGATTAGTAACCTTCCGACACTTAGCCGCATGAATTGAGAGAGCAATATCAACTCTTCTATACATACACCCCCCTCCCCCTCCCATCGTTTATTTCTCCGCAGCAAAAGCAAAACAAAATATAGGCTGAACAGTTAACTGCCTACGTCACAAGTATGAAATGCGCCTCCAACGAGCCGGTTTGAGGGTTAATGATCTCCGGTGCCTCATCATTAGAGCTCCAAGAAAAGCTTATATTATGTAGATGATATCAGACAAGTAGGAGAGAAATGGATGTAATGCCGGCCTAAATGCCCCTATTTTGGACCCATTCATAAATTCAGCAATCGACTAAATTTTCAATAGTGACCAAAAATATCCATTAGTACCGTCCCAATGACGTGTTCGTCTAGATAAAATTGATAAATAGCAGATTTTTAGCGATGGGCCCAATCTTAGATCCATAAGCCAACATTAGAGCCATTTCCCCCAACAATTATTGTCGAGAATAAACATATAAACGACCAAATACCGATCTGGACACTGCACTAGGCCCAACGACCTAATTCACCCAATTTCCAGGACACGACGCAATAAGTCACTAATGCGCAGTACTGTGAAAATGTGCTAATTACCCGATATTTTTCGACAATTTCAAACATCAAAGCTGGAACATTGCCTTCTCACCGGTAGAAATACAAAAGAACCGGTTGAATAGAGAAAAGACAACTACCAATGGCATTGCAGTGAAACTATAACAGTATTAAAACCGTATTTTTTCAGTAATTATAAGTCTCTCAAAAATTTTCAACTCAAAATTCTTCAAAAAAAATCTTAATTTTCGTTATTTCATCCCAAACGGGCATGAACTCAAAAAATAAAATAATGCTTATCCCGCAGAGAAAGCACATCGCCATCTTGGAACGCGTGCGTGTACTCTCCAAATCGGCAAAATTGCCCCCGAAGCCGCCATCTTGAAAAAAGCCACCGCACGGAAAGTTACCTACCCAAGAAAAAATGAAAATCCCGGAATACTTACATCGTTCATGTTCCGACGGTTTCCTCCTCGGTTGCCACCGGGACCGCCACGCTGGTGCTGTTGCTGCTGGTGCTGTTGTTGTTGCTGCTGCTGCTGGTTGCCACCATCGTTGTTTCCGCCATCTAGATTATTCTGACGATTGCCTCCGCCACCGGGGCCGCCGCCGCCACCACCTTGATTGCGGTTACCGAAGCGATTCTGGTTTCCCCCGCGGTTTTTGTTCTGATTTCCACCGCGGTTCTGGTTCTGGTTCTGTCTATTGCCACCTTGGTTGGGGCCACCACCCTGATTTGGGTTGCCACCAGGGTTACCTCCAGGACCACCGCCACCGCCGCCGCCGCCAGCGACTCCACCTGGCTGCTGCTGTGGCGTGCTCTGATTGGAGTTATTCTGCTGCCGCTGTGGCAGTGGACTACCGTTAACCTCCGGCTTAGCTACTTCCATCACGTCTTCCGATTTATTTGTTTACCTCCTTGGGGGAATCTGTTATATAACACGACACTGCCACCAGACTATGGCTTTCTTCGTTTGATATCCTTTACACTTCCTCTTAAGAATTTTCACCTTCCTGTCAATTCTTTTTTCACTCAACAGAGAACTCGGAAATAACGTTCAGCACAGCCGACAGTAGAAAGCAGAATGAGGAAAATGGCTCTCTAGTTTGCTAAAATCAAGTGGAAAGTCTACACCGTTCTAGTACTACACGAGTGCTAAAACTCCGTTGGTGCTGCCAGATGACTATATGGCCAATGAGAATAGCGCAGAGCAAGAAACACTTCTACTCAGTTGTATGATAAATTTATAAAAAATGCAGGTATTGGAGATTGCCGCAAAAGCTCAACGCAGATGTCGCCAGTGCATGATGATGATAATGTTGACAGACTGCATATAAAATTCGTGAAAATTAGCATTAAATCATAATTTTCATCAATCCTGCGTGACATCCTTCCAATATAACATTCGAATCGAAGAAGAAAATGTTTTTACGATCAGACTGATGTGCATCTTTGACTTTTCCAGATGAACTTTCATAAGATATATTCATTTCATTTCACAGCTCCATCAATGCTGCATCGTAAATATGATGTAAACAGAAGAAAATTGCTCAAATACTCAAAAAAAAGATGATTTGTCATCTTGTTATCACTTGAAGACCATCTAGCACCATTTTATAGTATGGTGCGTGTTGAGTAAAGCAAGTTCCGTTGCGTTTCCCGTCGAAAATTGTGAGTATCAATATGTTTGCTTAGAAAAGGCCAAAATGAACATTTATTGAATATTGGCATTCTATACAACCATTTCTCCATTATCAGGAGCATGATACAATCTTTCCTAAGTAAATTCACTTAATTTCCACTTTCATCCTACACTGATAAAATTTCAAAGATTGTTTTTATGTGTCCCACACATGAATTTTTGCAATGTGATCAACAAATGATATTTATGTGTCGGACACATACTTAATATGTGTACACATAGAAGCCATGTGTAACCACACATACTATTCATTTGACTCATAAATTTCATTTGTGCATCTGGGTGGATTCTGTTTATGTGTGGTCACATGAAAATCATGTGGAATTTGACATGGAAATTCGTCAATGTGTGGAATTTTATTAGTGTAGTGGAAATCGCATATATTCACCATTTTCTGAAAAATGCAGCTGTGCATGAGGTAACCTCTACCTGTGGGTGCAAACTTGTTATGCATAATTTTCCATGAAAACATCTCCGATCCATACCGAAATAATAACAGTTAGTTTTCAAACACGTTTTCTTACACGATTCAAGCAAAAGTTTCCACCGAAAATTATTAGTTTTTCTTTATGTACCGATTTGCCCCAAAAATCATCTGTTTCACTTGGAGAATTTGGAAACTATCCTCCTTCTAGTAGTTCTCACTTCGAAATGTAAGCGGCGAAAGCTTGGAAAAGTTTCACTGAAAGACGCCAATTGATGAATCTACGTTAACGGTCGACCAGCAGATGGAAATGATGAGAAAATGAAAATGACGTTTTGCTACCTGTCAAATCGTATGGAATATTTTTTAGTACATCATCACTTTTGTGGTTTTGGATTTCAGACCTAGGTGTCGCACGCACTGGTGCAGTTTCGCGTAGATTCATCAATTGATAAATTTTATTTACGTTACGGTCGTCCAGCAGATGGAAATGATGTTTTGCTACCTGTCAAATCGTATGGAATATTTTTTAGTACATCATCACTTTTGTGGTTTTGGATTTCAAAACTAGGTGTCGCATGCACTGGTGCAGTTTCGCGTAGATTCATCAATTGGCGTCTTGCAGTGAAACCACAGAGAACAGCCCATGGGGCAAGTCAGCTTTGCTCAGAGTAAATAGTTTTGCAGCGAGTAAATTTGAGTAACTCAGATTTACTCAAAATTGATCAAAGTAGTCTCACCTTTATCAAGAAATACAAACATTCAGTGAAAATTAAAAAGTTTAGACTTGTGTCATCTATCCTCGATTCCTCGCATCTATCCGAGATTGTAATCTTATAATAAAGTCACTGAGAATCTGGTTATTCATGTCGGTTTGCCAGTGATAAAATATTTTTTTTTTATAAAATTTGATTTCAATGATAACAAACCTGTTTATTTCGAGGTTTAATTGCAGAATGGATCATATATAAGATAAAGAGCTGTCCGAGGAGACAATTGAATTGAAAAATATGCACTGATGATTGTCCACGCAGGGAAAGTTAAAGTCTGAATCTTGTCAAAATCTGTCCATGATGATGCATGCGAACAATCCCTAATCGATTGAGCGGTGCTACAAAACCAGCAATTAAGAGAATAAACAATGAAAATCATGGTATTTGAGAAATTTACAGTAAAAAAGGGGGGTTGTTAAGCATCGTAACAATATAAAAAAGTGATTTTTCATTAACAAATTTGATCTCATCACACTAATTTTCGTTGTTTGAGCATTGTATCATTAAAAATCGAAATCTATTTTTTCTCCCGTAAAAGCGCTCGTAAAATGCTCGATAGGGAACGGCTCGGGAGCGTTTTGATTTTTCATTTTTCTTGGTGCACGGAGAAAAAATACTACCCATTCGCTATGAAAGTTTGGCAGATAAAATGAGGGGTTCATGGATTTTCCTATTTTTCGAGGGTTGCATCCACAAACGAAGTGACAGACGGAGCGGCTCGAAAACTTTGGTGACTTACCTGCTATTGCAATTTTTCAGTGTACCACATGGCAACACCACTACTACTGGATTGTACCACATGGCAACACTACTACCAACACTACTACTGGATTGAACTAGCATTTTCACCAAATGTACTAGAATGTTTTGGTTCTATCTCTTTCACTCTACTCAAAACTGAAATGCATAAAAAAATGACAAAATGATACGCACTCTTTGCACACTGTCAAAGAATCATTGTACACAAAATCAACTTTGTGCAAAACCAAAACAAAAATACTATCCCATCTGGTGGATGATGGCACAAGCTTCTAAGAAAATTCTATTACAGCGAACCACATTATTTTAATTGATTTCTTCGGCAGTTAGTCGTCTGTCACTTCGTTTGTGGTTGCATCGATTAGCTTGGGTCCGAAGATAGTACCAACAATCAATACGAAACTAACGGTTTTAAATTGGCTCACCACTTTAGTAGCCTATTGGTCCCAAGCAAACGATTAACGTACCCTATTCTAGTCGAAATTCTAGTACTACGCAATGTTTGTTTTGATTCGCTATGAAAGTTTGACAGATAAAATGAGGGGTTATTGGTTTTTCCTATGTTTCGAGGGGTGAATCGATTAGCTTGGGACCGAAGAGAGTACCAGAGCTGAGCCAAAAAGTTGAGCACGTTATTTTGGGACCTTCTACACGAAACGAAAATCAATTATTTTATTCATGTGTTTCACTTATACATTTTTGCCAAAGCATCAGCCTTATACATTCCATAAGACAAACCACATAGGTCCTACAAGAATGCATAAAAGGTATGTGTGACCGCTTATACATTTCATTTGACACATGAGCTTCATTAACTTTTTGCAAGGCGTCTGCTTATTAGTTGACTTATACATTTTATGAATAACCAGCAATAGAAATTTGCCAAAAGGTATAAGGAGATTTCTATCCGTGTAGTCTTAGAGTTACCTCTATGATAGTACCAGGGCTGAGCCAAAAAATTGAGCACGTTTCTTCGGGACCTTCTGGTCTTAGAGTTACCTCTATGGTTCAGCCCAATAAGTTACTTTTGAGTAAATTGCATATTCTCAATTTTACGTGAATTAAACTTAATTTTGGGTAGAATATAATTAAGAGTAAGTATTATTTATTAATTTTTTTGCTTGTGTTAAATGGAAACTACTATATGCGATTTACTCAAATTTAGGTTATTGGGCTGAACCTAGGTTATTTTACTGTTTTAGGATCCTGGAATATGCTTCCACGAATGATGCAGATGTAGTTTTAAGATCTTTTTCGGATTTTGTTGAACATTCTGCATATCAGAATAATAAACACACGTAAACATAATCAAAATCATTGTATAATACCCACAGCGGTTGGCAAAAAAAACGAGAACAAAAATACCTTTTCTGAATGGGACTCAACAGCAGCAGCATGAGCACGAGGAGGTGGAGGAAGCTGAGGAAGAACGAGAGGCTGATGGTCTGATAACTAGGTGCGATCGACCACTGATGATAGCTAAAATTTGAAAAAAAAAAACAAATCATAAGTTTGACTCAGTTTGCTCACAGAGAACAGACATGGAGGCTCGAACAAAATTTCTCTAAAAACTTGTGTAAAGATTCCTATTTGACTTAAGCGCCACTAACGGCGACTTCCCCACTTAAAAACCCTCTTTGACAACATAATGGCGCTGGCGTTGCACAAATTACACTAGACACTAAGTGCTAGTAGCGCCAAGTGGCAATTTTCAACAGAAAATTTATCGATACTAGCGCCAAATTGGTCGAAAGTGGAAAATTTATAGCGAAAATCAGGAGATGCTAACACCACGTAACGGCGACGTTTTCACTTATTTTACACAAGTTTCTGACCGAACTTGAACGTCTGTTTTCTGTGGTTTGCTTGTAACTTTTGGGTTGGCCTGCAAGCTAGAAAGTTTTAATTTTTCTTTGTTTGTTATTTGTAATAGGTATTTGTACTTGTTATTTCTAATAGGTATTTGTACTATTTGTACTGAAGGGGCGACATCTCTCGGATCGTCAGTATAGCTACTACTCAAATCATATAATTAATTGCACAGTAATATCAACAATCAATACGAAACTAACGATTTTAAATTGGCTCACTACTTGACTAGACTATTGGTCCCAAGCAAATCGATTAACGTACCCCATTCTAGTCGAAATTCCAGTACTACGCAATGTTTGTTTTGATTCCATACCATGTAAAATTCCACATGATTTTCATGTAACCACACATAAACAGAATCCACCCAAAAGAACACATGAAATTTATGAGTCAAATGAATAGTATGTGTGGTTACATTTTTGACTTTTATGTGTACACATATTAAGTATGTGTCCGACACATAGATATTAGAAGTATGCAAAATTTGAAATTTTCTCTCCACAATACTTAAACGATTTCAAATCGGATCCTGACTAACCTCTCAAAATTTGAACCCATTTGGT